TCCTACGTGATGTCTGATGTTCTAAAAAAATTAGCGCTCCAATGTTACATTATGCTAGCGCGTTAGCGATTAATGCTAATCGCTTCCAATTACCTTCACTGTCAGGTGACCTACGTCACGTATCCTCTGCAATGTATTCATGATGGCATATCGTTGGACTAATTGTGCGTGTTCCACCGGCGTTTCCTCGTGCGCTGCCAAATCGCTGATTGTCTCGCTGGCCGTGGTACCGCTTATTGTCAACAGTAAAAAAATACTGCCGGCCCCGTCCTCGAGCTCGCGCCATAATCGATGCGTGGTCTCGCGCTCGAGAATCGCCAGATTGATCACCGTCTTGCCCATCAGATCGTCCTGATGACTTTTATCTCTATCCCAAACCGTCACCTCCAACTCTTGTCCCAGATACGGGTCCTCGTAGAGGTGCAGGTCAAACTGCTCCAACCAAATTGGATTCAATGTTTTGTTAACGACTTTCGACTTGTATTTCTCCGTGCCGAGCCTGCAAATTAGGATACGGGATACTCCAGTTTTTATGGCGGAAGTTTCGCAGTTCAAGCGACTGCGGCTTGAATTGCTATAATAATCCCGAAGTATTATTCAATTTAATTTCACGCGACACAGAAGATAAGAGCAGAATGATTCTCATTCTACGATAAGAAAAAGTAAATTCGATATTGCAATGCTGGTCATAATATTGTGGTTTCAATTTACATTGAAACCATATACTAATAGAATAAAATAAGACATTAAAAAATAGATTGGATACGTTCATTTATTTTTAAAGCTTATTGATGCAAATAAAAATAATCTTCATCGAAGCTAATAATAAACAGCATGAAATATCTCAGATAAAATATTGCAACTTGATTAAACTGATTAAATTTATTGAAAAAGTTGTTTAAGAATTTTTATAATAAACAATTAGTAAACAATATGAGAAATTTCCAAATGATATTCAAAACAAATATGGTAAATTTCCAAATGATATTCAAATTAAAAAATTGCTTTAGTTTATTATCAAAATTCAATCGAAGATAATCAGAATAATCAAGTCATGTATTCTATTTTATGATATTAAATTTTATGTACCGAAACTTCACGTAAGGATCCGATAAACCGTCTATGTCCATCGGCAATAAATTCTTTGCCTCCACAAGTACAATTGTCACCACCGAACTCCATATCTGCGATTTCAGCCGTCTATTCACGTCCGCCAATCGATTAGTTCTCTGAAAATACTGCAACGTAGAAAAACGGAACGCTAAATAAAATTATCGCTACGAGGATTAATTAATGCGGGATCCTGTTGCAATATAATATCATTATTAAAAATTGAAAGCAATAAGCGTAACTACGTAAAGAAATAAACGCTGCGATTGCTCGACATCCTTTCCTTTTTATTGAGAAAATCGTATCATATTTAAAGAAACAATTCGTGGAAATATTTTACTGTAAAATCATTTCTTTAACATTTTAATTAACTAATATTTCTAATTAATATTATATATCGCCATCAGAAAATTTTATTTAGAATTTTTTTCGCAGAGAAAAAATTTATTTTATGACTGTACCCTGTAAATATCCTCTATTTTTTCTTTAACATTGTCCTTCAATTTGTCCAGAAAATCATAACGTTTGATCTCCTTCACTTCCAAGATGCCAGGATCGTCTAAAACGTCTGAGTTTTCTTCTCTGTTTTCCACGTGTGGGGAAACAGTTTCCTGCTTGTCTGGTTGCGTAATCAAACTCGCCGGTTCGAATCGATCCGATTTTGGCGAAGCAGATCGATTTCGCAATTTTCGCAAATGCTCGATCACTCGGGGCTCGATCCTCGGCTCGTCGATCCTCGCGGCCAATTGATTTTCCATCAATCTGCTCTCAAGTTTCGGCTCCTCGTTTTCTCCCTTCGCTGGCGTAAACTTGAAATCGTACGTGGGTTCCGGCACAGCGTTTTGATCGACGTCCGTCAAGCTAACGGATGCGTCATCACTGTGTGTTAACGTGTAACTGATGGAAGGCTTGCAATGATCGACGATCCACGTCTCGATCGGTTGAAGCCACTTATGTTTCTCCCTGTTCTCCTCCCAAATCTGTTCCACCTGATCTTCCAGTATCCTCTCTATCAATTCCACTTTCCGCTTTAGAGAACTTCTTAATGAACCCTTGGCCTTCCTCTTCTTGATCCCGGACAGACTTTCGGTGGACGACCCTTCGGTTATTCGCGCCTTCCAAACTCCTATCATCGCCGACGCTCTCTCCAGCTTTGACTTCTCGTTTTCAAGAACGTCCTCCGTAGTTTCGGAAGTCGCCCTGTCAAACGGTTCTTCGGCCCGTTTCACCCTTGCGGGACTTTCAATCGCGGACGTTTGGATCTTCGATGCCTCACTGGCGACAGAACTTGACTTTCTCAAACTCTCCTCGCGTTGAATATTTCCGAGGAAACTGTCATCCGACGCCAAAACACCGGCGCTGTTCGATATAGTGTCACTTTCCGTCTCAACGAGGTCCCTCTCGGATTTATATTTTAACACAGATCGATCTAACGCCGCGATAGAATGACGTCTTTCTCGTTGATCCGCACGCGCCTTCCGGCGCGGTTTTTTGGAAGGCGCGGTAATATCGGAAGATTTATCGGTGGACATCTCGTCTACTTTATTAGACGTCTCCGCGTTAGACATCACGTGAATTTCAGGCTCCGTAGCATCGACTTTAATTACGTCGTCAGCGGGATTCTTTTCCATTCTTTCCGTCTCGGGCGCGACATCAATCGTGGACGTGACATTCGGTGTTATCTCAATTTTGGGTATAATGTTAAATCTACTCGCAACATTCGATGTGGATGATACATCGTCCATTTCGGGTGTAGGATCCATCTTGGACACAACGATCGTAAGTTATTACACTCTCTTTATATATATGATTTCGCTCTTATGTACTTTGTCGATCACTGTACTCTTCGATGCGACATTAATTTGATATCGAGTACATTGAGATCCGGTTCAGATTGAACATATTATCTCTTTCAAATACAACAATGTATCACTTCTCAGTTTCTCTTCCGTGGAGATCGTTCTTGCGAGTGAAGATTGCATTTCGGATTTTCTGCAATGCAATTGTGAATATTTTCCTTCATGGAAAGCGACGTTATTCTCGTCGATTCTCTTGTTGTTGTGAATTTTTTCGTTCTTCTTAGAAGCAAGATGACTGCGAACTCGTTTTTATCTTTCGTTCGCTCAGCATCCTTCATGGACTCGCGTCATACTCAAAATCTCGGATCTCAGAGATTATCTCTGTTTCTCGTTTTTCGTTTGCAAACATCGCCATTCGCTACCTCACGATTCCTGATAACAACATTAAAGCACGTTTTTGCATGAGAAAGACGTCAGTCATCGGATCGCATAATTCAACGGAAATAGACGGAAGAGTTGCTTTTAAATACAATGACTTCGCATCTCTCATGCGATGTGCATCGCGAGAAGTCTTACAATTTCCCTTTAAATTAATATTTTTTTGAAATCTTAATCTAAAATTTTAATTAGACTCAAAATTACATATCTACCCACTTCACTTTACGTATCACTCATAACAAGCACTCGAAAGGAAATGAATCTCTTACAGCAAACTCTTGAGACTCAGATAAGTTAAAAAATTCGTCATAGCCGAAGCTCACTTGACATAGAAACGCCAGCGGCTGTCACGCTCAAAGGAAGAAAAAATGCGAAAGAGTGTTCGCGAACGATGATTTACACGCTGATTCACTTGTGTCTTATTTGTAAAAAAAAAAAAAAACGTAGAGTGCAAATATAAGCACTTCCTCGCGATGATCAGTATCGGTACCGCCAATTAGCGCCGGTGAGTCATAACGAAATGCACAAACGCGAAATAGAATGTGGTCACGTGTGTGCACGGCCGGCCGTCGGAAGTCTCTTATCACGAATAGAGGTGAGCTCGTTACCGACGTGAAATGGAATACATTTCCGTGCTGGTATCACATCGACACCGCGCTGATAAGGCGCGAGGCACTCGCCACACTCGCGAAGTAAGACGGCAAAAGTTGTCTGACTACTAAATCATTCTTCATTGGCAACCTGCGAAGCGTGCTGGTCAGCTGGGCTTCTTCTCCCTCTCCATTCGCACCGGGAAAACATTGTTACGTCGGCAAACATTGAGACATTGTGTATACACGGTGCTGTAACCGCGTAGCGCGATATTCCTGACGTGGGTATTTCCCAATTGCGAATAAAGAAAGAGAGAGAGAGAGAGAGAGAGAGAGAGAGAGAGAGAGAGAGATATGGCATAATGTTAAATTGGTTCAATCTAAGAATGCAAAGATATCGATCTGATCATATGGACTTTCCTCTCTTATTTTTTTTTTTCTACTTTATAAAATCATTTTGTTCAAGGAAATTAAGCTCAAAATAAAATTTGGAGAATTTTAAAAAATACAGATATAAGTAAATATGTGTTAACTTTTCTCATACGTTTTCATTAATTTCTTTTATTTCATAATTAATTTCTTTTATTTCATTTTATACTGATAACATATCTTTCCACTTTACATTAAATATGTCTTTATAATTAATTTTCTTTTAGAAATTTAATTCTTAAATTAAATTTCTAAAAATAATTTAAGAATTTAAGAATTAAATTTCTAAAAATTTCAATAAGAATTAAATTTCTGAGAGAAAGAAACACGGTGAAATTTAATAACGGTGAAATCGAGAATTTAAGAATATTAACATTTCTATTAATATCTCCTGAAAGATCTCCTTATCGCAAAAAATAATTACTTGCGAAATGAATAATTGCGAATTATATCATTGGATTACGATAAGCCATTAATATGTTCGGTATGATATATGGGAAAGAAAATATCATATGTAGTATATATAGATGGTATATTATGTACACTTATCAACCGACTTTATGACTACACGAAGTATTCGATACCCAGCAAATCATATTTCATCTGCGAGTTTTTAAGTTTGCGCTCGCAATAAATATTTAATAAAAATATGAAAAGGCATCATTTATCGCGAGTTATAAATTCATAATTACATTTCCATTTGCTTGTCTCATCTATTTTTATATTCATTTTTATTTCATTAATTTTATAAGAAGCAATATTAAGAAATAATTAAATTTTAAGGATAATTAAATATTAAGAAATAATTAATATTTAATTTTAATTTTAGGAAAGGATGCATGTCTCTTTCTGTGAATTAAATTACTATCTTTAAAATCGGACAAACTGTGGGATAAATTTGATTTGTGCAAGTTTGCCACGTAATGAACGAATTTTCAAAGAGATATGTTAAACGGTTGTTAACAATGGTTAACGCGAATTAAACGATAGAACCTTGTAATTTACGCAGCTGCAAAGTATAGCTGACTCAAGCGCGAAGTATTTGAAATGAGCGCGCGATGTTGTTGCGCGAGGGTGATGCTATTAAGTAAATTACAATTAATTCGTAAATAAATTGGATTTAACGCGTAATACCCGAGAGTTCCCATTTAGTTATTCCTCGCGGCGCGGCGAAATGGCGTTTAATAATAGTTAACACATAAGTAGAGCTCCCGCGCGATAAGGGCCAGGCCTTGCACTCCACTTTCCAGCCGACAAGCCGACAAGTCGATATCGTAATACGGACGCGGGCGCGCTCCTTTCCTCACAACCCAGTTTCCCATTCTTCATACACACGCTATAAATATACGCATGGCACATCCATCTCCCTCCGCCGAGACTAAGAACACGATTCACGTCGCGATCGTTTATTGTTAGTTTATCATCCCCCGTTTAACCTTTCACAGAACTCGATAAGATCGAGTTCGGTCGATCATTTCTTCTATTTTCCAATATTCGCTGATGTACTTGAATGGCACTTATGAATTATCCCAATTATCTTATAAACAAGTGAGATAAAATGATAAAACAAATTTCTTAAGAGAATCCAGCCGGATTAAAGAAGGAAAAGTACCTGTTCTTTTTCTTGTTGATTTCTTGGCCAAAGTGTAGCTGTCAGATAGATTTCGCCTAAATGTTGCTTTGGTCTGTCCGGATCTTTAAGTTCTAATATTATATCATGAGGATGCCCAAGATCGAGTTGCGTAAGGTCCAACATGGCTGCTCCCATAAAGTCATCCTGCAGGCCCCAATCGTAATCGAAAACCTGTCAATATATACAAGAAAAAAAAGTGAAATGTCAGAACATTTTGAATAATTAAATATAAATAATTTTCAATATATTTTTTCTTAATAATCTTAATAAAATTAATTAATATTATTTCTTAAACATCTTATTACATCTTTATTAAACGATTTAAATTATTTTCAATTAAATTAAATTAAAAATTATCCTTAATATAGAAATTCTTGTTTTTAAAAAAATTTAAATTATCGGATATTAATATATTTATTACTTTTTATGTTTTTATATATTCAAAATTTTGATATAATAAACAAATCGTTAATGAGATACCTTAATGGTAAGTGGCTGAAAAGGATCTTCTATAGGCAAGGTGACACTTTCGTCCCAAACTGGATTTAGATCGCGATGAACGGTTCGCGATTTGTGCAACAGTCGCCCTGAGCATTTTACTTTCACGTATGGATCACTGGCGCCTGGAAACCATAAATCATAAACCATACATACCTCGTAAAATTTATGATTACGCAATAAATATTCTTTATGAGTCTTTATTCATAAATTTTATTCATAAATTTACAAGCTCACTCGGGTTGTTTTACATTTTATTTATCAGTATAAAAATAATTGCGCATGTTCAAATTTTATTTATTATAAATCTGAAATAATTAATATTTTTAACAATATGCAATACATATGCATTTGATAATATTTATTTTGTAAAACAATGAAATTATTTCGTTTACGTTTTTCCTTTGAAAATGCAATTATAAATATGCAAAATATTTTACGTTTCCTAGTTTTCTTCTTTAATTAATGATAATTAAAATTTCATTCTTTCTCACCACATCTGTCCATCGCAACAAGATTTGCGCCTCTTCTTATATGTAAACGAAGTTGGAAGAAGGCATGCTGTCTCAATGCCTGTTCTCTCTTTCGTGTCACTTCATCTTGAAGAAAATCGCCATCCTGGCTGATAGAGCCCCGAGGCCCTTCGCCCCCCTCCTTCTGAAAGCTTACGGATCCTTTGGGAAATCCTTCGCCGCATTTTCCAACATTATCCTCTTGCACGATCGCAATCTTTTCTCGACCACTGCGTGCCAATGGAGATTCTACACATTCGAAGTATGCCAAAATACACGATTTTATTAGTGTCAGTTTTGGCATTCGCAATTTTTTTTTCATTTTTATTTATCAATTATAAGAAGATGATGGATATTGTTTTTTTAAATAGATAAACCTCAAGATGGAAGCTCAATATATAGTATAGCATTTAATATTGTAAGGGTTCTCGACGAAACGGAATCCATACGATATCAGAGATTGCTTTATGCCATCACAAACCCTCGTGTTGAGGTTTATATCTTATATACAATTCTTTCTAATTCCATCTCTTATTTCTTTAGCCAGAAATAAACCTGTCATAAAACAGAAACATATATAAGAGATTGAAGAAAAAGGTTGAGACTGGACTCAAAATCTGAAGATTACGTATCGACCGCTCTCATTTCCGGTTTTCTTACGTATTGTTGAATTATATCTTTAAACAAATATTTTATAAAATTTAAAATATTTAAATAATTTGAAACAATATTATAGAAAATATTGTTATTAATATATATTAAATATGATTTTTTTATCTCATATTGAAAGTCATGTAAAAAATATTAAATTATAAGAGATAAATTATAAATTTAAATTCTAGATAAAAATCTAATAAATTTATTAAATTTAGATAGATTATTATTAATTCGCGTTCTGCTACATAACTGTATGATCATACAACTTTGCGTTTAACTAAATGTAAATGTAAAAAAATTAAGCAATATTTTATAATTTTATTAAAATGTATTATTTTACATATCATTCACAAAGTCAAAGGCACAAAGAACATTACATTATCGAAAAAAATGTTTAAAACGTCAAAAAAATAAAAATATGAAAAGAACATAATTATACACATGTCGCGAACATGATTTTGCAACTTTAAAGATATAAAAGAGCTATTACATGCTAAATTATTAACAAAAAATTTATGAAACATCGCAAAAAAAATGCGAAGAGAACATAACTATGCGATTGTCACGAATACAATTTTGAAGATATAAAAAAGCCGCCGCATACTGACGCTTGTATTATATAATGAGTACAAAAGAAGTCTTTTGGGTTAGTCTGTTTAAGTATGGCGGAGCACGCTAGTATTCGTGTTGGATCATCTCGGATCAATCGATATAATGAGGTCTAAACGCATGTCGACTTTTGGTGTTAGGTACAAATTGCAACGCTCAATATTCTCCGCTTTCCAAACAAATTTACCTCGTATTGTCAGAAGCAAATAGTTATATACACTGCGTAATCAGCGTTATGTATTATTTGAATAAGTAATTGTTGCACGTAAAATCACGATACAAAACTGTTTACATATATCAGTCATGTTATTGTAATTAATCGCTTGTCATAGAGAATAATATTATTCGTATAAATATATATTAAAAATTGTTATTTGTATTGTATTTTGTTCATATATTTTACGCATTAATGTATTTTTTTGTTGATAAGATAAATGTTTCAGCTGCTAAGTAATTGATTTCGTCTTTTGAAGTGTGT